ATTAAATCTAATGCTCAAGACATTTATTAAACTAGTTGATATTATTAGTTCAGGTATTATTACATCATAATCAGGCAAACATATTTTATAAATTTCTTACAATATATAATTTTACTTACATTTTACCTAAAAATGAATAAATGGTGAAACCAAAATTTGTTTGCACAAATAGTTTTTAATCAGAATTTTTAAATATGTACCTTTACCTTGCAGTTGCTTGGTAAATATAGTTTCTAAATATATATGTATATACCTTAAAAAAAAGAATAAATACATTAAATAATTATATCCTATAATTCTATGCAAAATATTTTTTTTATATATTCATCCAATCTCAAAAAGAGCTTTAGCGAAAAAAAAATTCTTAGCGTATAGAAAAATTTAACAATAATTATTGATAAATTCTCTTTGTACTCTAAATTCTAATGCTGAAAGAAGTATAGTTAGTTGACGTATGTATTTCAAAACACTTTCAGTTTCTAAACTTGTGTAAGTTTGAAATTCTACGCATAGATAAATAGTTTACCAAAGTTATGATAAAGTTATTATATTTCCTATATGAGAATTTGGTGATAATTTTTGTATAAAATTTTCTATATTTTTGTATGATCAAGAAGTTTGTGAAATGATATTTGAGATACTAATGTTTTCGAAAAATGAATTGAAGTAGGAAAAAAAAATGACCAAAGGGAATAAGATTCCTATGGCATTTAGTGGTATAATAACTCAGGTTATAGGAATTGAAAATAAGAATGATGCTATTTGAGGTATTATTAATCTCTTTGGAATTTGAAACGAGATAGATATGAAATTTGAGAAATATAAGGGATTTTCATCACCAATTACAAATGCAGTGGGCAGGAACCCATATATTGAGATGAGGATTATTTTGTGATAGTGGGTAAGTAAGTTGTGATAAGATGTGTGACAAAAGAAGAAATGGTACTGTTAGTGTCTTTGGTATTCTTTCTATAGGTTGATATCTATAGAGCGTTATAAGCTGATATTTAGGACGCCGAATTTGTGAGAGATATTATGTTCATCTAAGCTATATAAATATGAAGATGGAAGATATTGAGAAAAATAAGAGTGCGCAGCAGAATCCGAATGGAATTAAATAAGGGAATCCAATTTAGACCTTGTAGGAATAATTCCTAAGATGTATTGCAAGAACATTGAAAATTTTGTTAACTTATCTTGATGTTTATGTCTTTTAGGTTTCGAGGACAAAACCTTTAAAAGGGGGAGAGAATGTGATATCTAGGCAAAAAAAAAAATGAATTGTGAAAGTAGTGTCGGATTAGGACCCTAAATTCATGTCTAGATTCTTGATCGACCTACCAAGAGATTATAGGGATTGATGTCTAAGATTAAATACCGCTTTCCACCCCCAATTGAATGGACAGTCCGAAAAGATCGTACAGATATTGGAAGACATGCTAAGAGCATGTGTTCTAGACTTCTCGGACAGTGGGGATAGGTTGGTGAAACTAATGGAGTTTTGTTACAATAATAGCTGTCATAGCGGGATAGATATGGCACCATTTGAAACGTTGTATGGGCGAAAGTGTGGATCTCCCTTATATTGGGATGAAATAGGTGAGATGCTGACCATTGGCCCTGATTTGGTGGAACGAAAATTAAGATTATTCAAGAAAGATTAAAAGTAGTTCAGGACCGAAACAAGAATTGGGCGGATCCAAAAAGGAGACCTTTAGAGTTTCAACCGGAAGAAAAGGTATACTTAAAAGCATCCTCCACCAAGGGAGTGATGGGGTTTGGAAGAAATAGTAAATTAAGTTCAAGATATATAGGACCTTACGAAATACTGGAGAGAGAGTTGGACCTTTAGCATATTAACTGGCTCTTCCACCAACTCTGTCGAGGATATAAAATGTTTTTCATGTCTCCCAATTGAGGAGATATGTATCAGACCCGAGCCACATTTTAGAGGACCAAATAGTCGAAGTGAAGGAGAACTTTTCAGTGGAGGAAGTTCCCATAAGAATCGTGGATTGAAAGAACCAAATTCTGAAGAGAAGGACCATGCCCTATGTCAAAGTGCAATGGACGAACCATACACCACGAGGGGTTACGTGGGAGTTAGAAGAGGACATGCGGAATAAGTATCCATATCTGTTCGATCAAGGTACGTAAGTTTTGGGGACGAAACTTTTTGTAAGAGGGGTAGAATGTGAAACCCACGATTTTTGGCCCCTATTTTATTATGGCATTATTGTAATTTTTTCAATTAATTAAACAGATAAAATTTTATGTAAAAAGAAATAATAAAATAAAGTAACGGTAGGATAGGCTAAGGGGTTCTATTAAATCAAAAAAAAAAAACTTTGGCCCAACCCACCTACTAGTAGGTAGTGCTAGGTTTAGGATTTCATTGAAACCCTAGACAGAAAAGTAACCCCAACCTTACATTTCTTTCATCTGCATCTCTAGAACAAGAGCCGTCAGTGAGAAGAGAAGGGAGAAGACAAGAAAGTACAAAGAGTAATCTCTACACCATCAACATCCAAACCAATACAAGTAAGATTCTGACATATAATTTTATGATTTATTCTTTTTACGAATTTTATAAGCCTAGGTGTTCAATGGGTGATTATAATAGTTTTGAGTCAAGATGCTCGATAGCTATTAAGGGTTCCAATTCATATATTAGCATATTCTAGCAACTTGTAGGAATTTACAATGGAATATGTCAGTGCAAATGGTATCTAGCACCAAAATTATTGTGTGAATTCTTTGGATCATTTGTGGGTTGCATATTCATGGAATGGATGGATTGGAAGCCTTTGTTTCCTGGAAGAGATCATATACATAAGCTACGTATTCTTGTGAAGGCTTTCTTATTTGGAGGTAGACATTATATGGTGATTTTTTTAAATAAAATATTAGAAGCACTGTGTTAAGTTTATTGTTCTTGATAAAGTGTTCATATAGCAATGCAATGGGTTTCTGTAAGGCCTAATATACACCGATTGATGTCTCTGGTTGAAAAAAAAAAAAAAGATAGTCCAAAACAATTAGTAGTTTGGTCTTGGTCTTACGGCTGAAAGCACAAAAGAAAGAAAAGAATTAAACATTAATCCATCAAGCCAACGGGATAATAATTCCAAAGCTTTCACAACACAAACAAGACAGACCCAGAGAGAAAGAAAGAAGAGAATGAACCCTTATTGGAGCAAGAGAAAAAGTACAATTGGCAATTAGTCCCAAGGATGAAGACGTGCTTGAGTTTCATATTTGGTTTCCATAAGTTTCAATACAACTCCAAAACATTTAAGATAATAAAAGTATTCTGAAGATTACTTTATGGTCCAGAAGGTTTGACATATAACTGGTTTTATAAATTGATCTTGAATCAAGTGGTCCTAATGGTTAAATTGACTCCAAAATATTTTAAAATTACCTAACGATATATCCTGATATTTTGTAATGCCCAAATTAGTTAGGCTCAGTCATTTTCATAAAGTAGATTATTTTAAAAGTCTGAATTTTTTTCTTAAAAGTCCAACGCTATTATAAATACCCAATTTTGGTTAAACGAATAAAAAAAAAGAAAAGAAAAATGAATGAAACTGTCTAAGTTAGGAAATTTTAGGAAGGGGAGCCATGCTATTTTTGCGAAACTATTCAAGAACATTTTAGTGAATGTCCAAACATGTTTTCTAGAATTATTTATGGTAGGACTATGCATTTCAAAATTAAGATAATTAAATTGATTAAGGGATATATGTTATTGGTTATAGGTTTGAAGCAAGTTTAAGGGCGCATTAAGAATTTTCTCAAGAGAGCAGTTTGAAGTAGATGGTACTTACCCTTTTGAGATTTCAAATGTGCAAATGAAATTTTTGTTTTCAATCCTATTTGGTTGTGTTGACTCGAAAGCTGTTTGATTAGATGTTTTACTTGAATATTTATGAAAATTATATTTTACTATATAAAATGGACCATGTGACTTGTTTGAAATGTTTTGATACGTTAGTATATACAAAATGAGTTGAATCTTTTATGGAAGCAAAGATTTATGTAAATGAAATATGAAATGAATTTTTGACAAGTAAAGCTCAGAGCAGTCATGGAATAGACGTAGGGACTATAGTCCTGTCCAATCGCCATGGTAGCCTGGTATAAAGCCCAGCCGATTGGTGAGGTCATGGTAGCCTGGTATAGAGCTCAACCAATTGACCGATTGATAAAGTCATGGTAGCCTGGTATAAAGCCCAGCCGATTGACCCAAGAATGAAATGAGACTAATCGGTAGTCATGAAACCTATTGATCGCCCACCTAGAAGGGGTAAAATCTCTAGACTGAGTACTCAGTAACCGGTCATTGCATGTACTTGTTATGAGCTAAACTGAAAGAAGGTTTATGAACGGATATGAAATGATTTATGAACTGTTTTGAAATGATCTATGAATGGATATGCGACGTTTTATGGGATGATTCACGTATGGTTGCAATTTCTCATGTATGGTTGTCAATAAAGTGCTTTTAAATTCCTTGTCATTCTTTACTACTGATTGCTTTATAAATAACATTACTTTCAAAATTACGGATGTGAATGATATGCAAACGATTTGAGTTGTACTTATATATATATGTATCTATAAAATTAAAAGTGCATGGTCCAACAGAAGGGTAAATATTACCTACTGAGCGATGTGTCGCTCAACTCACTTCTTACCATTTTTGCAGATTCTGAGGAGTATGAGTTGGTTTACATAGAAGACCCCGATGATGACTTTTATTAGCTTTGGATGAATAGAAGTTGGCAGTCTAGCTACTTCTAGTTGTTAGTCTTATTTACTCTTGTTTCCGCTGTTTCTATTGGAGAATAAATGTACGAACGTCTTGATTATTCGTAGACTTCCTTTTATATGTAATTCGTACCGCACTTTATCTAGTTAAATTATTTAGTACTGTCAAAATTAATTAGTTAAGGTAGCTTTGTATTCCTGAGTGGGACTTGGGAGTACGGCAGATGTCATGTGACGGGCATGTGCGGGCTCGGGGCGTGACATTAGGTGAGGAGGATATTGAGCTCATCAATTGGCTTGGGCAGAAAAATGAACATTCAACTATTTTTGCTTCCTTTAGCACTATGTATTTCTTGTCAGAGGAAGAGATAGAAGAGATTGCTTTCGGGTTGGAGCTAAGCCATGAAAACTTTATTTGGGCTTTAAGATCTCCTCCAGGTGAGGAAAGAAAGCTTGAACAGATCTTACCAGAGGGTTTTCTTGAAAGAGTGCAAGATAGAGGGAGAATTGTTCAAGGAGGGGTACGACAAGCAATGATTCTAGGCCATCCGAGTCTTGGTGGTTTTTTATCCCACTGTGGCTGGAATTCTTTATCAAAAGGTATAGAATTTGGTGTCCCCATTGTAGCCATGCCTATGACTTTTGAACAGCCTATCAATGCTAGGGTGTTGGTGGAAAATAGTGTAGCTATTGAAATCACAAGAGATGAAAATGGTAGACTTAAGAGGGAAGAGATAGTAAAAGTGATCAACAATGTGGTAACCGGATGTGCAGGGGAACCCTTGAGGCAGAAAATGAAAGATCTAAGGAAACAGATTAAATCAAGTGAAAAAGAAAACTTGGATGGATTTTAGCACTGGTTGCTCAACTATCCAAGAAAAGTTCAGGTCATCATAATGCTAGGACGGACTTCCTAGAAAAATTATGGTAATGATGCCAATATTGCACGAGCGTAGCCCGTCCAACAAGACATAGGAGTTAAAACTTGACATTTCACAAACGTTTCCTTTGGCTCGTTTCCAGGATTTTGTCACGTATATCCACTGGGGAATCGGAGCAAGTATTGTAATTATTCAATTTTTGGTCTTTGTTTTTGTTATCTTGATGTTTATTTGAGCTTTGCTGCTTTTTATTTCCTTTGCCAAAAGTGTGAATTTTGTTTATCTACACCAAATATTTTAATGAATACAATAGTTTATATACGTTTACAGCAAGTATTGTAAGAACACCCATTTTATGTTCCATCATAGGTAATTAAGATTAAGTATACAGATGCACCAAATAGAATGAGGGTTCACATACATTGTTCATATCTTTTTTAGTGGATAATGCATTTGACAGTAATGGTGCGCTTTTTCTTACTTTCTGCTTAACTTTTTCAATTCAAAAAATTAAAATGTATAAAAAATGAGATTTTTTATGAATTTTTTGCTATATTTTTTAATTTTCTATTATATATTGCTTTTTTGAAGCTAATGTATTTATTTTTTACTCAATTAATAGTTATTGAATTTTAAGAAAGCAAAAAAGAACTAAATCATGATGTTTATGTACGAGAAATAGTAATATAATAAAAAGTGGGACAGAGAGTGGCACAGGGTGTGAGAACCTAGAACGAAAAAGAAAAAAAAAATTTATTATTTAGGGTTTTATTCCTGTGCACCCGTTTTCTTTTATTTTCCTTATTCTATTACTTTTATCAACATTTTATCAGTAAATATAGTTTTTAAATCATTTTTTCTAGTATAAGTTAGCTCATGAGAAATTAGGCGTGTACTTTGGACGTGGGACCCGCTAGTGCATTTAGTGAGAGAAATTCGGCCAATTAGGTTAAATTTTGTATAAAGAGATTTAATAACTAGGTGTTAGGAAATGATTAGAGGTTACCTAGATGGATTAACCATGGAGGGACAAGAGGATAACTCTAAGCAAAAATAAAGTGACAAGCGTCCAATTATGAGTGGAGTAGACTTGCCTAACTTTCTTTAAACTCTACTAAAAGTCCAATTTTGACCCAAATAGTCTTCATTCTTCATCTCTCATGGCCGAACCTCTCTAGCAAGCAAAGGAAAGAAATCTTCAACCTTCCATTTTCTAATCTTGCACAAATCTTGAAAACCAACCGATTATTTCTTGAATTAGTCCACAAAATCAACTTACAAAGGGTGTTTGAAGGACTTGGTGGAGTTGTTTTGAAAGAAAAACTCCTAAGCTACAACCTTTCTTGAAGAGTTAAGGTAAATTGCTTGGAACTCACTTTTTGTTTCTAATAATGGCCAATTGGTGCCTTGTGGTAGCTAATTAGTAGATTTTGTGGAAGATTTTATGGATTAGGATGAAGTTAGCTAATTTTCTGATTTTTGTGAGAATTTTTCTGTTTTCCTATGATGGATATGGTTGGCTTGAATTGATGACTCCAAATGGTGTTAAATAGACCTCTTGTGCGTTAATTGCGGTCATTTGCGGAAAATTTCCTCTTGTGCGGAAAAATTTCAGATTTAGGGTTTCTAATTAGGACTTTTCTATGGTTAGGTGTTGAGCTTCTAATTGGCTATAATTGAGAGGTATTGTGACCCTAATGAAGTACATTGAATGGCCTATGAATTGTTTGGGTGCTTGTGGTGGTTTTGGATGCATTGTAATGGTTGATTGTAGGTTGGAAAAGCTGAAATTTTAGGGGAAATGCTGTCCAAATGTCTAGGGCGTTGGATTCTTGTGAGTTGGGTTGTGATTGGATAGAAATGAGCGGTTTTAGGGTTTGTTTCTACTTTTAACCCTAAATGTTATGTATTTTCATTTCCAAGCTATATTTGGGTTTTGCCTTAATAGTTCCTATTACAAGGTATTCGACTCGTGTTTGAATCTTAATTGTACTTTCTTGATTATTATAGGGCATGCCGGTGATCCGAAGCTCACGTCGGGCGAAAACTTGTGAAATTTCTTTGTTTGACTTGGTGAGTGTACTACTCACATGTTTGTATTCTATGGCTTTCTTGTACATGAATTTTGTGATTGGACTAGTTGTGATTATTGTTTGGGTTAGGTGAGGCGAGGGTGCACTTTACCACTCTCGTACTCTCTGGCCTATTTAACTGTTTAGTATATCACTTGAATACTCTTGACTGTACTTGATTTGGTGTCGTTGGATACTGACCTTTACTGTTAACTCTGGACCTTTACTGTTCACTCTGAGCTCTACTTCATTGGAAGTCAATTGACTCGAGTCGGTAAGGACTTGGTCGAGGCCATTTGACAAGCCATGGGGACTGTATTTAAGAATCTTTGGGTATGGGACCCTTGATTCCGGTATACTCGAGTATTACCAATTCTGTACTACTTAATGTTCGGGCCCGGTAAGGGGAATGTGTGGTGGACGGATAATTGGAGTAAAGAGGAGTCTACGGTCATGATTACCTGGTATACGTTGACGGAGAGTCAATGAGATGGGATCAAGTATAGCAAGCAAGGGAAAAAGGCTCTTGAGAGCCATCCGTATCCTTTTATTCCATATACTTGGGTGTTGTTGAATTTACTTACTTGACGAACATTTTTGGATTGAATGTCCTTGTGTTTATGTGATCCTGGTATATTTATGTGATGGTACCTCATTGGACGAAAGCTCACTCCGTTAATTTTGTTTTCCTTACAGGGAACTATCTTTTGGACTTTTGATTTTGAAGAATGAGTTAAGTAGAGCTAGTTGAGAGATTTTGTATAGCTCCTCAATAGTTGGAAACTTTAATTGTACTTGGATTTAAATGCTCCTTTTGGCTTGTAAACATACGAATGTGGTTTATAACAGTGTGTGTACTCATATTCAATGTATTATATTTGGCTTGTATATATTCATTTCAAGGATTGTAGGAAGTTACTTGTATTCGATTGGGTCTTGGGCGGATTGTGACGTGGCAGTCACTATTCGCCTTCCATTTTGATTTTCGTTTTCCACTTCATGATTGTTGGTTTGGTTAAGCGCGCTAATAGATTCCCGAACGACTTGAGTTGGTGTTTAACCGTCTTAGTAGTTCTGGCGAGAGTCGGGCAGGCAGTCCACTAACCCCTTTGGTACGCCTTAGGGGAAGGTGGGGCTGTCACACAGGGTGTGGAACAGAAGATCCGCTGCGCTCGTAGTCTTACTTTCGTTTATTGTTCGATGAATTTCAATATAAATCGGGTCTTAAATAGGACACGTAATGAAGAACTGGATTATGGTGAAGATTTTAACTAATAACGTGTAAAATGTTAAGAGCAAAAGGAAAGAAGTGAATTCGATTACTTAGGATAAGTTACAAGAAGTGACTTCACATCCATTGATAAAAAGAGTTGCATGGTTTGCTTAAATATAGATAAAATTCTTTATAGATTTATACATACATACATACATATACACATACATATATGTGTATATGATTTATTGGGCATTTGTTAATATATCTAAATTTCACCAACTGCCATTTATATGCATATGTTAACAATTACTACTTTCTCTTGTATTTATACATTTTTCCTAATTAATCTTACCTTTTCAAAAATCTAACACCTGAAATATATTTTAACGTGTGCCCATTAGACTAACCACACAGACACACATGTGTGTGTATTTATTTATTTATTCTGCATTAATTATCATAATCTTATTGGAGTAATTAGGTTCCATTTTATTTTCGTTACATGTAATTGGTTGCTCTTTTAAAAAGACCAGTATGTTTTAATGTGAGAAAGACTAAAGGCCCGTTTGGAGTTGTAGTAAGTTATTGAAATCTACTTCTCTAGTAGAGTTTTTAATAAAAAATACTTATTAATTGTTTAGGTGTTTTTAAATATATTTTTTGGAGATATAGTTTAAGAAGTACTTATTGTATTGAATAATATGTAATTTGAAAATTTCTAAAAGTATTTATCTCTTTATTTGGTTCATAATATAATAAAATGATTAAATTTAATATTTTATTTTTTTAATCACAAAAGATACTCTAAAAGCGCCAAATTTGAGGTTTTGCTAAAAGTGTTTTTAGCACCAAAAACTCTATTCCTAATTTTATGAGATGATATTCACCAAATACTTTAAAAGTACAAGTTTTTTTTTTACCAAAAGTAGCGCAACTCTAAATGGTGCCTAAGAACTATTATCACTACCACAATTTCTTAACTGTATAATTTTGATTAAATAAGATGGATTTAAATTCCCTTCCTCCCTCGCTCCTACTCCCAAAAAAAAAAAACTTTCCCCCTCCTTGTTTCTTAAATATCACCCTTTTCTTGCTAAAACAATAAACAAAATAAAATAGAAAAGATACAATTTATTTTGGATAAAATTTTTATGCACCGATAGTGTAGTGATTTTTTTATATATATAATAACAGCTATGGATGTACAACACATGTGTATGAATTGAATTTTAAATTTAAATTCATGTCATGTGGTATGATCTAAATCTATTAGTGTAAACAAAATTATACGCTGATATTATACAAAAAACTTACTCATTTATTTAAGGGTTAATCACATTTTATCCTCTTAAAAAATACCCCATTTCTCAGTTTTCCCCCTAATTTTTAATTTTGCTGACTTAACCCCTTTTAGAATAAAATTGCCCTTGCATTATTCTGACTTTTTATTTACCTTGTTTTCCTTTCTTTTATTTCTTTTTCTCTTTCTTCTTTATTTAATTCTTCTTCTTTCCCACAAAAATTTTCACCTTAATGATTGAAATTAAAAATGAGGAATTGCAGAGATCTATTTTCTTCTTAAATGATTAAAAAAAATATTCAAATCACTTTCCTAAAATACAATTTTTTTAGCCTTTCAATTCTTTCTTTTAATTTTGGATTTTCTTTTTTCTTTTCTAGTTTCT